AAACATTTTGATTCCATTGATTATCAATAGATTTTAATTCAACTAACTGTTCGTGTAATTTTTCTTTCGTTAAAATACTTCCATCTTCCATAGAATGAATATATTCTCGATGTACATAAGGACGAATAAAATAGCCTCCATTACAAATATTAACAATTTTATGTGGAGATATTCGTATCAATCCAATATTAAAACATTGATCATTGAAACAAAATAACATTCCAGATATATTCATTGACTTATATTGTATACATGGAATATATTGTTGAACAATCCATTGTTCGTGATTTGAATCTAATAATTGACAAGTCCATTCATCTAATTTGACATCAGTACCTACGTATATAGAATAATTTTTATTGAAACTTAAATTAAGAAAAAAAAAATCTTTTCAATAAATATTCATACCCATAATAATATTTTCTCCTTTTCCAGCTGAATTTGGTTTAATACACCAATCTTGTTTATTATTAATAATAGAATCTTTTAAATAATATGGTATTTTATTAATAATATAGGTTATTGGTATTGATTGTTTAAATTGATCTTGTGAATTATTTAATAAAGCATAAAGAAATTGTTGATTTGATAAAAGTGAAAATATTCGTTTATCGTGTAAAATAAATATTGTTCGAAGATCGTTTATATAATTTAATTGATGATTTTTAATAAATAATTCAAGAATTTCATCCGATAATTGTTCAATTTCATCTTGATGTAATTCAAGAATAAATTGTTCAATAGAATAATTTGTAGTTTTATCAAATAATTTATTATTTTCAACTTTTAATTGTTTTGGATCAATTAATAAACATGTTTGAGAATATTTTTTTTATCCAATATTGTTGAAATAAATGAATATCATAACCATATTCTTTAGATTTAAGAATAAACATCGGCTTTTTCGTATCAAATTTTGATAATTTTATTATTGTTTCAATTAAATTTGAATATTTTTTTGAAATTCTATTTTGATCATCAGTTGAACATAAACTGGCTGATAAAAAATATCCATTAAATGGAAATCGTGCATTAATTTCACATATTTTTGGCTCAAACGAATAAATTCCATTCATTTTAAATAAATTTCCATGACCAAAAATAATATCTGGTCGATAAGTTCCTATTTGAAAGTTTGATCGATGAATATTTAATTGTGTTAAAATATGATGAATTTTTGAATTAAATTGAAAAGTTTGTCGAATTTCTTTACCTAAATCTGTTGGTTGACTATATTGTTTAACAATTAAATTTAATATTTGATATAAAATTTGATGTTGACTATCGAAATAATTATAAAATTCATTTGAAAATGTTAAATATTCTGGAAGAAATTTAGTTTGATCAATAATCGAAAAAATATTATATGGTAATGATCGATTAAATCTTATTCGAAGTAAATGACGACGACTATCAAAAATTTTAGTTCTAGCATGAAGATAAGTTTGATTATTTAATATAATCATAGTGTATTTATTTAATTTTGGTATATATTTTTCTGTTTTATTAATTATTGAATTAAGCTCATTTAATTCTTCATTATTTTCTTCTGATATAATATCGCATCTATAACGAATTCTATCATGATCTATTAATATTGGAACATTTATATGATCAGTATTTGATAATCGTTGACATTCTTCTGGTATATTTATTCGTATTTTATTTTTAAGTAATTTTTCTTTTGTTTGTAATGATAAATTTTTTAAAATGTCTGATAATCGAATTATTTGTAATTGTCCACCACCAAAATGATCTTCTTCTAAAACAAATAATACCATATATTCAGCTGGACTTTCTTCATATGAACAATCCGTATGAAATGAAAATTCATCAGCTGTTTGAGATCATGCTAGTTTTTTTTGTTTTTCATCAGAAGATATTTGTATTGGTTGAACATGCCAAACAATAGAATCTTTTTCTTCATTATGCTCTAAACATTGACCACCAAGTTTTTCAATAAATTCAATGAAAAATTTTTCCATATTTATCATAATATGATGATCATTTGTCAAATGTTCACTTGTAAATTGAATACGAACATAACCATCATCTTCAAGTTTTTTTTCTATTTCAAATATTTTATTTGGATCGAAATTCATTATCTATGTAAAAAGAAAAAAAAACATTGAAAGTATTTCATTGCATGAAGGTTATATTTCGTATGCATGTATTATGATTCATATAAAAGTGTTCGAGCATGAAATATATTTTTACCTATTGTTACAAACAAATACAAATGATACTATTAGATAAATATCAGGAATATTTATATTCAACGAAGTTTATATAGGAAGCCATAAATAAACATTTCCCTTCTTAATGATGTCATTATTGTATTTTTAGTTCGATAATTACAAACTGCGTTATTCTATTGGACTTAATACACCCTATGACTCTTATTACTTTGAAAAATCAATTCAAGAAAAGAAAAAAAAGTATTTGAATATTATTCATAGCCAGTAATCAGTACTTGATATGACTTATAATGTTTACGAACAATAAATTATTATCTATACCAATAATATTTTTTCAAACAAAAGTTTTAATTTGTTATGCATCGAAATAATTTTATATTATTTATTAAAGGATAGAATCATCTAAAACAATACTTTTGATGAATTATAATAACCGTCATGATAACTGACCTATGGCAATATCAATATAGTTTTAAGTATTGCTATTGTTATAGAAATAGTTTTTTAATGACAAGAAAAAAATAACTATTAGATTTACCTTCTATTTTATTCTCCACCTTCTCTTCTCCTTCATTTTTTATTCCAATCACAACTGTATATATACGCAAAACAAAATGGAAATTCCAACGAAAAGAATAATTCATTCGAAATAGTACGATAATGCATATAACATAAAGAAAAGAAAGAGAACAATCAAGGTACTAGGATAACACTACTGAAAATAACTATCATTTTATCTTTTAATTATTTTCATCATCTATGAGCTTGTTTTTCACTTAGGGTATGTCTCACAACAACTGAGAATAAATCACTAATGATTTTTGGGTGGGTGTGGGTGTGGGTGTGCCTAGGTGTAGATGTGGGTGCCACCTATTCACTCCCTTTAGGAGACCAATACCCACACCCACACACCCACACCCACACCCACACCCACACCGCCGTAGAGCAAATTCAACCAACAGAATTTGTTATTATGAAGTCTAGAATATACCACTACACCATACTTATGCATTTGTGAAAGTGTTGAATTTTCTACTTGAATTAAAAAATAATTTTCTACACGAAATTTTTTATGAAACTAGGGCTATCTTTTCCTATTACTTAAAAGATTGAGATACATAACTTTTTATAATTTATATGAAAAAATAGACTGGATATTTTGACTTAAAATTTTAGTAAATTAATTTATTATATTTTATACTTATAATAAATATAACTATTCTTGTTTTACACTTATATTTGAAAAAATTCGACTTACGAAAATATAAAATTTTCGAAATAAAAATATTTAATTTATTTTTAATATAAATGATAATAATTTATATTTATTTTTAAAAATATTTTTTTTTTATAATTCAGCTTATCTGCAAATGAAAGTACAAGAAGATAAAAATTTGACACGCCTATTCTTAGTGTATTCTTTGCCATCCATATGTAAAAATCCATTCCGTAGTGGTTGTAGAAACCTCATTTTTACAAGAAAATGCATAAGCTGAAATGCATATTCGGACGCCTTTATTAAAAAAACCGTTTTCCAGTAAAAACACGCGTTGAAAAATATGCACTTAGGTGCATTTGTAAAGAGATCATCTTTTCAGCGAAAGAAATAAAAAAAACGCATCAATATACATAACAAATAAGTGCATCGTAACGAATAAAATAAAACATGCTCGAACGACGCTTTTAGGTGACATTTTAAGTTGAAAAAACGCGTTGTAAATATGTAAAAATGCATTTAAACACGTTGCAGACGAAAACCGGTGCGTTTAAACGCAAAAACAGCTTTTTTTCTCTGAAAGTTTGCGTTGGAACGCGTTTTTATGCAAATTTTTTTCGTGGAAACCATCAGAAGTATGAAGTATATGTATAAAAAAAATATCAACGACGTATTGTAACATGATGATGTCTTTAAACGAGTTTCGATCACAAGTGTAACTTTCATGCTTTAAGAAGAATGAAATGAATTTTTGGTTTTTAATGAAAGATTAGTGAAGAAGAATATTTAATTTTAGTTCTAGAAAAAAAAATCATAATTTCGTAATAAGACTGGACTGCAGAAGACGAACAATGGTGGTGTTGCAAAGCAAAACACGAAGATTTTCATTAAAAAGCAAAATTAGAACTGATATTTTCCTTCCTGAAGCAACAGAGCTACATCTCTGTAGATATTTCAACTTTCTAAAATAATCGACTCAGGTTTATTTGACAACTTTTCAGTTTGGATCGATTTAATCAAAAGAAAACGTCATGTGATTTTAGTTTTAGCTCTTTTCTCAAAACAAATTGGATCGAGTATCTGTTAAAATTTAAACAATGCAAGCGTTTTACGTTTTTGCTCTAAATACAACTATAGACTCTATTTTGCTAATATTTACTTAAAAGCAAATAATTTATGTTCACCTCAAAATAAATCTACGCTTTCATTTTCTTGAATCATGACAATCTGACAAATAATTGAATATTGTTTTAGATGATTCACTCGCTGCAATACGTTATAATGATATTGTATTTCATGTGTATGCATTGCAGTTTTGATGATTAATGAATTCTTATTAGAGAAGTTCATATCTATTGCTGTTTTAGATACTTGTTAGATTACCTTCAGATAACCTTGACGATAAAATGGTGTGGGTGTATATGTGATTGGATGTGATTGTCTGACCCTCGTGCATGTACATCCACGCCCACACCTGCTCACCCTTTTGTATATATCAATTGGTTTTGTCTGTAACTGCTAGTAGAACTTAAACTATTTTACTCATGATTCGACTGATTGGGGTGTAGGTGTGACTGTCACTTGCGAGAAAAAAACTGCCGGAGCTGCATCATTCTACGGAATTAATAAATTTCACGAATACGTTGATTCGTCTTCATGCTACAAATTTTTGTAATTGCTTCTCCTGCTGAAAATTTACCAAGGAACTTACGGGAACCCTTCACAAATGATTTTCCACTTTGAACGGTCATTTCATGCTAAAATTTTTATGGATGAGTGATCTTGGACAGATACGTTTCTGGTACAAATTTGAGATCGACTGATCGTACTCGACTGGATTCTCAACTGATTCAGGAGAATCAATATAACTTTGTCACTACAAGTGGCAGAGAGATTATACTGGCTTCAAATTAAGATCCATGTCAAGTCGCAACTTTTTTCTAAACAGAATTTTTATACTACGTCTGGTTCATTTTTTATTAGCATTTCAGTACAAGGATCTTAAAATTAGCATAAAAACATGATGGTCAAACGACAGTAAATCCAACTTTTCTCAGCTCAGAAAACCACTTTGAAAAATTCGCTCGGACAAAAGTTTCCTCTCCTTGAGACCTTTAAAAAGCAAAAAAGAATCTTGGTAATAGATCGAAAAATGAAGGACTTCCGATTTTTCTGACTGGAAACTATATTCTAAGAAAATTCTGAAGAACTTTTAGAATTGTTTTTTTTCATTCAAACTTACAAAAAGTCATATAAAAATGGCATATTTCTAATATATTTCTTTAGACTCTTATAAAGCGCGTAACTGATGTAGTAAGCTATCACAATCTGACATGCTGTTTAATATTAAAACGTTTTATTGCGTGATAATTCAAGTAGCAATGCAGTTTTTCGAAAACTGAAAATCTTTAAAAACCACAAAAAATTCTCAGAAAATATGGTAGTAAAGTCAAAGTCTGATCTGATAAGTCTTTGAAAATCGGATCATTTTCCAAAAACCTAGATATATTCTGGAAGTGGTAGCTTCGATGCATCTTCCTATGATAAAAACTCAATTTCGATATTTTTTGGAAAAATTCGATTTTCTTAGGGGACGCTAACTCTGTAAAATTATATGTATACTATTAGATCTATATTTTCGACATTATATAATGAGAAGTCGACAATTACTTATCACGTTCCGATATTTTCAGGCTTGATTGTTTCCACTCTCTCAGTGGCATATTCAAGCTTTCGGCTAGGAAGGGCCTGGACCATTGGTTAGTTTTTTGAAAGATGTTCTTTTTTTATACAATAATGTGTTAGTCTTCACAATGAAAAGTTTCTACAGCTATATCTTATTTATTAAAATCATATGATTCTGTTAAGGAAATAGAGAAAACATGAATTTCACAAAGCAAAACGTGTGTTAAAACGTTTCATTGTAAAGAATAATAAAATTGTGTATCTCCATGAAAATCTTTAAGGAAAATCCATCAGGAGGATTCCATAAGGTCGTGGGAAGACAAGTCCCCTCTTGTAACCGCTATCGTCGCTTCCAAGACAGTTAATTCTAAGACATTCAAAATAAGGATTGGTAGATTTAAAATGCGCAATCAGCTCGGTGAAGTTACGTAAAATTGAAAGAATATACCGATACAATTAACAGTACGTCATCAATATCGATTACATCATCTAAATGAGTTTTCTCTGTATTTCTTCGTGTTTTTACGATCTATTCTAGCTGTCTCAGTGTTTCCTTCTCAAAGATTGATAAAAACAATTAACACAGATCTGCATATCAGAAATATTTTTGTTTGTGATACCTTTAGTTTGCATCTGCACTAGTGAATAAATAGTCAAATAAGACAGTGATAGAGAAAGTGTCATGTAATCTTATGTTTAGTCTAAAAATAAACGGCTTAAATTGGATGCTGCGCATTTAACACTATTTCATAGAAAACTATGCTTCTATTTTGAATAGTAAAGGGAGAAAATATGCTCTGTGACGATACATTCATATTGGCTATTTAACATATATAAAATAGTATTCTCATCTAAGATTTTACTTAAAATAGCTATATAACAAAAAGACGCACGTAGAATTCACAGATTAACAAAAACAGATATTAAAATCGGTTAGTAAGTGCAGTGTTTTTTTAATAGCATTCAAATGGTTTAGCAGCGATCAAATTTGCTGAATGCTATT